GTTAAATCCTTCAATCCTCAACCTTGCATCAGATATGCGACCTACTGTATATGCCCAGTTGCTACAAAGATGAACGTTAAAAGTACATACAAATTTTACTCAACAAATAAGCACTAAAATCTAGGAGAAAGAAAAAAGATAGCAAGCAATACTTCTTCAAGATGACGCTAGAGAGTCAGTCTTAAGAGATCCGTTGAGACGGGTTTAAAACAGACATATGAAAACTTTCAATCCTTCGGTAGATAAGTGTCCTCTGAAATGTATGAGCTAAGTTGCCGTTCCTTGTCAAAGTATGCATATGGTGATTGCGCATAATTGCGACGCGTGTCTACCATGTTATCCAGAGGAGCCGGAGCTTCCTCCGGTTTGTGATATTTTTTTATATTTGTATGTATATTTAAGGGTTACAGGCAAGAAATGCCCTAGAGGACCCTATTAATGTAAAGCAAACAATATTATTCTTACAGTTAACGTGCAGTTGCTGGATCCTTATAAGTTTGTTCTGGATTCTGTGATGGCAGAGATGATGGTTGATACAGCGGTCCATGAGGAGCATCATGATTGTGGGAGTATCCCCTCTCTTTGGGCGTAAGTCATTTGTCGCTGGAGTTTCTTACCATCATCGACCGGAGTCTGTACGACAGTTGGTCCCTCACCGACCGATCCATGACCGGAGAATCCGTTCAGAGTACCACCAGTATTACCCAATAGCATATCCTTTATTCGACTGTTATCCAACTCCAGAAACATGCGTTTACATTCGCCAATGCAGGATATCCTGCCGCCAAGGTAGCCACAGACGACAGCAAGATAATAGGCCATTGGGCGCATCCAAGGGCGGTTGAAGAAGAGCCCCCGTGACCGGGCAGCAACGACGACTAGTGTGGCTCCCCTAGTCGTAGGGACGCACCCACGCCAGAAGGATCCCTTCCGACAGCGCTTGATGGTAGCTAAATCCTCCTGTACCAAATCTTCTCGCGAGGCCATTCTGGAGAATAAAATTTTAAAGCAGGGGTTAATTATAGGGCTGGGCCATGGGGAAGACAGATCAGAGGTTGCATTCAGAAACTGGACTCCAGTGAGGTGGCGAGCAGGAGTTATGCAGGAAGTAAAATGACTACGTGGAGAACTCTTAGTGTGATAAAATGAAAGATTGTAAGCAAATCGAAGAAGTGAAAACGAAGGCATTTGAAAAATGTTCAGCAAGAACTCCTAGTAATGAGAGAGGCGACTATGTAAACGTCAACCGAAAAATAGAAATGAGGTGCACTATCCGTCGTGAAGGGCAGATATGGGTTAGCGGTTCAGCTTTGTAATCTAAGAAGGGATGCACTGTTATCTGATGCCATAACGGTAGATAGCAGGCGCCAAATGGAGGTTTCGAACCACATCAGCCCCTGGCACCTGATCTCATTTCCAGATAACATGGGAGAGTCATACAACACATAGTAACGAACTCCAAGTTACGCTTGTATGTTAAAAGTCCTGGTTTTGAAATTGCCAACTTATACACTCCCCGGCTCTCCTATCGATCGATTGCAACGATTCCTTAATGTGGCCTTTATGGCATTCTCTTCAGTAAACTATCCGACTCCTTTTTGGGTTATTGGTTAGTACGCGTAGTACGCATAGATGTGAGTGGAGCTTCTTCAGACACTATGTTGCCTTGGATAGGAGAAAAATGAGATACATCTTGTGCTCGTCACCCTCACCCTCAACAAGTTGATACACAATCGGACCAGTAGCGATTCTCGACATCTGCAATAAAAGAACGATGGGTGAAAGATGTCGTTTAAGGCGAAGGGACTGAAACATTTTAACTTGCGAAAGAAAGAGGTCGGGAGAACCATTTAAACTGGTCTTTGAAAGGGCCCTTGGAGATAACTACAGTTAAAAGCGAACAAAAAGAAGGCAGATCTCATGTGCGGTCAGGCACCATGGAGGTATAAGATGCATGAGGGAAAATGGTCCGGTCAAATGGTCAGAAAACAACGGAAGACTTCAGAGTCAGGGACTGCATTTAACTGCGCCACAATCAGGACAAAGACGCTGCTTGTTGACTTGTACCCAATACAAAAGCAGCGTAAAGGTGCATTCGGCTACGAGCAATGTAGTTCAGGTTAATTCTAAAGTAGCGAAAGGGCTGTCAGCTTAAAATAAATAGAACCAACCAAATCAGTGACACATATTTAGACCGGGCAATTGAGTCGAAATGATTCGTTATAATGACAGGGTAAATAATGTGTTTTTTCAGCATGACAAATGCAGTAACACAAACTCTTACCTTTCCTGTTTTTCTGTCGCAACATTACCGTGCTCCTCTTTCTGCGTCCCTAGAAGCCTCCTGTTCCAGCTTGTCCTCGTTCTTGAAAACCGTTCCCTTCTGCTTGCAGTGCACTTTCCCACTTCGCAGTTGAGTTCTTCCTGCTGCCCATCCTAGAAAAAATTGGCAGGTTTGTAAGCAGAGGCCCTTTGTTTCGGAGATAGGCCACAAGTCCCGTCGAATCAATTGAGTGCATTAGCCTATCGTCAGGCGTAGATAGCTCCAATCTCAGGGACCTTGGAGATCTGTGGTCCGGGCTAAAGCAGAAAAAAATGCACATTAACTTATTATTGACCGCCGCCCCCGTCTGCCCATACTGCTTCAGTAAGTATCAGTGAGTATATTTGGAGTAAATGACTGAAGCCCTTAAAAACTCCATTGAAACGGTACATGAATGCATAAATTGTAGTGAAATATGCAAAAAATTATAACAGACCGCTTTTATGGTGCATAAGTGCATAGAATATTTTGGAAACATAAATGATTGATAAGGTGAGGCGTTTGCGGAATGGCAGCGTAGAAAAAATTCAGTGTATATCTAGTATGGGGGCGTTTGTAGCTTAGCGGTTGGAGCATTGGCCTCCGGCAAAGGCCTTCTCTGATGCGCGGGTTCAAATCTCGC